ACTGGGGGGCGCCATAGATAGGCCTAAATAAAATGTTTTTAATTGTGTACCAGTTCAACGTTGAATATTATTTATGATATAACTGATGTCGCTAGTGGGAGATAAAGAGTGTGTTCTTACAGTAAAGCCACATCGGGCTATCTACTGTGTCCACCGAGAGGAATCGAACCCCTGATTTTAGCATTGTAAATCCGGGGGACTGGGAGATAAAAAAAAATTCCACGAAACAGTTGTTTTCCTTACATTAGGCTTCCAGTCATATTTTTCTTTCTGAAAACAAGCTCTATACTAAATTGTACTTCAAAATTCTCGCTCTAAAAATAGTTACAAGAGTTACACACCACATAAAGTGTACAAAATTATGCGAAAAGCTACCCCCCCCTTTATTTTCCTCACTGCTATACGTCTAAGTTAAAATTAACATATTTCGTATTTAAGTTTTTGTAAGAAGTCATACATTCTTCTACTGAGAGAAAATTATTGTATACATGTACAGGGTAGACAATAATTCTGATAGAAAAAAGATAGTGAAGTACATTTCACAAACTTCATCCAGTACACATTTGCTAATATGAATAGTGTCTCAACCACTACAAACCCTATCGTATCCCAGCCGGCCTGAAGAGCCGTGGTATTGTGCGAAGGACCTCGTCGGCAGTGGATACAGCAAACATAGTGTGGTTGACATATTATTATTGTTCTTTCTTCTTTACTTTCACTCGGAAGTTCTTCTTAGTACGTATAATTAAATGATACTGTTCTATAATCCAATGAGTAATTAATAATGTTCTAGTATGTCCAAATGATACCGCTCTATAATTAAATGGGGATTTTATATTTTTGCAGTATATACGATTCAGACTATAATTCTCCGAGTTTGTTTGTTATGGATTTCGTGCAAAGTTACACGAGGATTATCTGCGTTAGCCGTCCATGACTTAACAGTGAAAGGCTATAGGGAAGGCAGCTAGTCATCACCACCAACTCTTGGGCTACTCTTTTACCAGCGAATAGCGGGACTGATCGTGTCACGGCTGAAAGGGCGAGCATGTTTGGTGTGACGGGGATTCGAACCCGCGACCCCGCAGATTGCGAGTCGAGCGCTCCCTAGCCACCTGTCCAATTCTCCGAGTAAGAGATGGGAAAATATAGTCTTAGATACACGATCGACGTAACTTTTCAAATGGGAATAAAAGTTACTTTACTCCAGACGGGAAACTGCGTTTTTCTGGTATATGCTTATTTTATTCGTCTAATGGGATTGGGATTTTTTTTAAACAGAGAATATGGTGGGAATACGAGGGTGTACATTTACTTTCTAAAGTGAGGGGGAAGGGAGGGTGGTTGCTATAAGCTCTTTAAGAACATCCATATGTTTCTTGTCTAAACACGTGTCTGGAGCTGGTTTCGGATAGCTTATAAAAAAAACAACAACCATAATATACTATTTCTTTAACAAAGTAGGGGGGGGGGAAGTCCCCTGTTAATGAAATGCTGCATGCAAGTTAAGGGAAATACGTTCTAGTGCTATCACGAGTTCGTTTTTTGGGTATATTCGAAAACGTTATTAACCAAGTAGAACGATAAAACAAGTGATGAGGTTAAGTTGCCCTGGTGGGTGGATATTACAATTTAGCCAGGTTTAGTCTGAGTCACCTTACATACAAAATCAAATGTCAATACTGTATTCACACCACAGAAGTAGCCGAGCGTGAACGTAAAATAAAACTGGCTCTTAGTTTTCCACTTTTAGACCATGGAGGTTTTTTTTATTAAGTCAAATTGGGTGTAGAATGTATAGCATTTTAACTAAATTGGATTGTTACATAGAAAAAAAAGTCTTGCTCTTTCACTCCGAACAATGCGTGCCAT